TGTAATAATTAATATATTGATTTTTATATATTTAAAATTTTAAATTGTTTCACATTTTTAAAAAATTTTTTCTTAATAGAAACAGGGTCTCACTCTTGCTCAGGCTAGTCTGGAACTCCTGACCTGAAGTGATCCTCTTGCCTCGGCCTCCCAGGAGTGCTAGGATTAGAGGGCATGAGCCACTATGCCCAGACAATAGTGACTTTTAAAAGTATGAAAAACAGGCCGCGAAGTGGCTCACGCTGTAATCCCAGCACTCTGGCCGAGGCGAGGCGAAGTGCTCAAGGTCAGGAGTTCGAAACCAGACCTGAGCAAGAGCAAGACCCCGTCTCTACTATAAATAGAAAAGAAATTGATTGGCCAATCAATATATAGAGAAAAAATTAGCGGCATTGGGTGGTGCGCCATGCCTGCAGTCCCAGCTACTCGGGAGGCTGAGGCAGCAGGATCGCTTAAGCCCAGGAGTTTGAGGTTGCTGTGAGCTAGGCTGACGCCATGGCACTCACTCTAGCTTGGCAACAAAGTGAGACTCTGTCTTCAAAAGAAAAGCTATGAAAAACACATTAATAAAGAATGGACATTTTATAAAAATAACCATTGTTTACCATAGGACCAATCTGCATCTTAACTCTGGTATGGATTGCAGAAAGAAGCTAGACAGTACAATCTGTTCAAAATCCACAGTAAAATAGCTAAGAGAGACAAATAAGACTGTACCAATACATCCCACAGAAATGTGATTTTTTGATGGTACCTTTGTCCTTCTTGAAATCCAGTGCATCTTGTTTATCTGTGACAATATTCCTTCATGTTAACAACACTTCGATGGATTAACTGCGAAGGATTTTGATCTCACGAATGGCTGTGATTGGGAAGCCCTCTTTCTCATTGTCTAGTCTCACCTTCTTCAGAGCCACTAGTTCTCCTGCCAAAACAAATTCAAACCATAATCATTATCAATTAGCATTTTTTGTCCACCATCAAGAACTGGGCTTAATGCCTACTTTAATGCTTATATGCCAGATACTTTTATGTCTTTAAAAAAACCTTTATGTTCCGTTTCTTGTTATTGATTTTTTTTAAGCCTTACAGTTAATTTTTAATTCAACATTCAGTTGAGCCGGGCACAGTGGCTCACGCCTGTAATCCTAGCACTCTGGGACACTGAGGCGGACGGATTGCTCGAGATCAAGAGTGTGAAACCAGGCTGAGCAAGAGCGAGGACCCCATCTCTTACTATAAATAGAGAGAAATGAATTGGACGACTATATATATAGAAAAAATTGCCAGGCATGGTGTCGTATGCCTGTAGTCCCAGTACTCGGAGGCTGAAGCAGGATTGCTTGAGCCCAGGAATTTGAGGTTGCTGTGAGCTAGGCTGATGCCACAGCACTCACTCTAGCCCGGGCAACAAAAGCGGAGACTGTCTCAAAAAAACAAAAACAAAAACAAAAAAAAATTCAGTTGAACCTAAAAGTTTGAGATTATTGAATATACCAGTAATTCAAATACTTCATTTTATCTTCAAAGACTTCCCTCACCCTCACCAAACAAATAAAACCTACAAGTTTTAATTTTAGCCTATCTTAAAATTCCCAGCAAGCTATAAAATGTTTAGAATGAACAAAATAAAGAGTAGGATTTTAAAACAGCACAAAATTATGCTATTCTTTTGGAAAACTTTATTCTATTTAATAACTTTGGAGACCAAATTAGAACTTAAAATTTACTTTTGCTAAATCACTTGGAATATTAGAATTGCTAAATTGTTAACCTTCTTACATCTAGAATTTTGTGGCAATATTTACCTGTGTCTTGTCCTTGGCTTTATATACTTGGCCATAGGTTCCCTCTCCAATAATCCCAATAATGTAAACTTGTCCACACAGCGGTTTCCCCAGTCGCTTTCTTGTTGTCTTTTCTCCATAACGAGGACCAAATTCTAAAAATAAAAAGAAAAGTTATTTTTAAAAATTAAATCTAAGCCGGGCGCAGTGGCTCACGCCTATAATCCTAGCACTCTGGGAGGCTGAGGCAGGCGGATTGCTCGAGATCAGGAGTTCGAACCAGCCTGAGCAAGAGCGAGACTCCGTCTCTACTATAAATAGAAAGAAATTAATTGGCCAACTAATATATATATATAAATTAGCCGGACATGGTGATGCATGCCTGTAGTCCAGCTACTCGGGAGGCTGAGGCAGAAGGATTGCTTGAGCCCAGGAGTTTGAGGTTGCTGTGAGCTAGGCTGACGCCACGGCACTCACTCTAGCCTGGTCAACAAGCGAGACTCTGTCTCAAAAAAAAAAAAATAATTTCTTTCTATTTATAGTAGAGATGGGGTCTCGCTCTTGCTCAGGTTTGTTTTGAACTCCTGACCTCAAGCAATCCGCCCACCTCGGCCTCCCAGAGTGCTAGGATTACAGGCGTGAGCCACCGCGCCCAGCCAACATAATGTCTTTCAGATTCATTCATATTGTGTGTATCAGTAGTTCATTTCTTTTTGTTGCTGAGTAGAATTTCATTGTACAGCTATAAACTCCTGATCTCAAGTGGTCCTTCCACCTCAGCCTCTGAAAGTGATGGGATTATATCAACAATTGTATCAACAATCTTGCCAGTCCTGTCTTCTTATATTTTGAATAAATGACATTCTTTTATGGGGAAAAGCTATAATTTTACCTAAATAAAAAAAGCAGCTGTATGCTTTTTAAAAGATACATTACAAGGGATAGATCTGTTCTTTATGGTTCTAGGAAATATTTGTGCAAACCACCTACGTTTTTTTTTTTTTTTTTTTTTTTACGACTCACAATCATGCTTTCAGATCGTGACATCAATCACTTTAGGGTATACTTATCCAAATCCAGGGCTCCTACGTTCCTCCCAGGATATGGACTGAGCAGGCTCCTATCTGGAGGGGGAGGGAAGGGGCAACATTCTCACGCAAGCTTGGTCCCAAAATTATACGTGCTTCTCTTTACTACGACTATAAATTAAGTACGAGCATCTCCAGACTGGGTGTGGATCCACCCGCTCACGCCATTGGTTAATCAGAGGCCTCAGTCTATCAGGAAACACACCCCGTCCACTGAGAGCCAAAACTCACGCGCACCTGCAGACCAACTTACAACAAACCAAGTAGGGGTGCCTTCTCTCCCAGCGGGACAAAATACGGCCAGAGCAACTAACGGCATGTTCTTTTCGCCAATGTCCTCGTACGAGGACAGTCCCAAACTTTCCGAGCGCCTGGATAGATAACACTATCATCCGTGTCACTACAGAACTCTTACCTAAGACCGCGCAACCTAAGGCATTACAGGCTCCATGAGCCGACAAGCGCGAACCGGCCACCTTGACACCTGTATCCAATCCTATGCCAGCGCCCCATCCTTATAAAACCCATGCACACAACCACACTATTTCTCTTTCCCAACTACTTGGCCTCCCACATCGCTCCTAGGATGAATCTGGAAAGAGACGCCTCCAGTGATTGCAGGACAGCAGCCACAATCTGCCTGCCTGCCTCCTTTGGGGTTCTCATCCTCATTCCCATTTTTCCTTCATCTTCTCGGTCGAAGCGACCGCGACGTTACAGTCCTTGGGTTGGTGCACTACATTCCCAGTCATCGGGTGCCT